GTGGCTCTGATAGATGGATTCCTTAAGATAGCCAGAAAGATCATTGAATGGAAAAAGGAATGAGCAGAGGCAATGGTGGAATATTCAGAAACTGGATATTCTCATCTTCATTTCTTGTCTTATTCACTGTTGTATCTCCAGTGCCCACAACAATGCCTGGCACATATGAAGCACTCAATAAATATTTGTTGAATGAACACACGCATAAAACTCAACCTCCAGGAAACTCCGTGCTATTGTGCCCCAAGCCAGTCCTTGTGAGAACTCCCCAAAAGTCCAAGGACAACCGCCCCCCCCACCCCATGAAGATGTACCAAATATCCTATATCTAAATGTCCCAGCATCCTTTTGGATGAATGCTACCAAGTGCACTTGAAGAGACCTGGACCACCCTCACCCCATTCTATTGAAGATAAAAGTTTCCTGTTTCATTTCCAGACTCACTCTCAGCCTCGCCCTGGACAGTGAGCACCATCTCCATCCATCAACCAAAAGCACACAAAGAAGAAACAGCTGAGGGTCCAAGAGGGCGTCAGTCTGGGAGACTTGGTCTTGCCTCTGCCAGTGTCAGCAGTCAGGCTGGATTCCTCAGCCCTGGCATTAATTGTAGCCCATGTGCTATGATGACAAAATGGAATTAAATGACATGCCAAATTAAAGAGTTATTTTTTCTAATATATATTTTGCATAGGATGTGTTTATAACAGCATTAATTATTTACACTGCCATAGAGAGAAAGCATAAATATAAAGAGAGAGATCAGACGGTTCCTGTAGGAGAAATAAAATGAGCATTTCTATCAGGATGATGAATACCTGCGGTCTCACTTTGGGGCTGGGCCTGGGGGGAGGTGGAGAGGGGGACATCTTGAGAACAAATCTGACAAGCGTTATCGAGGTTTTTGAGGAAGGAATATGTTAAAAATGAAAGTGAGTATAGAAAGTTTAAATATTTAATACCTGCATTAATTCTAATTCATACTTTCTTTATTTTTCAGATTAAAAATTTACAAGAATTCCCATCTCTTTCATCCTTCTTCCTCCCATGAGACACTTTGTGGTCACTGTTCCAGGGACCACCTTTGGCAGTATCTAGATAAAAAGGGGCATGAGAACAGCAGCCCCCCTGCCCTCCACCCCACCCCCAGGGCACCCTCCCGCCATGGGCATCTCTCCCAACTCCCCTACAAGAAGCCATTGCTGTTGGCCTGCTGGCGCCAGAATGACTAATGGGACCAAAGTCATTTCCTGGCCTCCTCAGCCCCCACCCCAGAAAGGGTCATGGAATTCTCAGAGATGATGCAGCCAATTTGTGGGTTTAAAGTGCTTGTCCAAGCCCAGACCTCACAGGGACAGGCAGAACACCACCACTGAACTGATGTCTCCTTGAAACAAGAGACTTCTGTCACACACAGCCCCAGGCCCCCCTGCCCTTCAGAAGCTTTTATTCTAAGGCCAATCAGACCAGCTTTATATGCTTTCAATAATATCACTGAAAGCCAGCATTGATTGACTTGGAAGCAAGGGAGAACTAACTTCCCGAATCTCCAACACCAGCTCTCAGCTTCAGCATTGCCCCGACCCCAGCATTAAGCAGGTGAGCAAACTGCCTTCCTACTAAGAACAGCTTATACGTCTGAATTCCCTTACAAGGCACTTTCCCACTCCACGTGTGACCCCAGAGTCCTGTGAGGTGGTCAAGGAGCTGTTATCAGCCTTCGTTTTATACAGGAGAACACCCAGATCATGTGACAGACCTAAGGTCTCCCCATTTAATTGCAACGTTTCCACTGTTATAATGCAGCTTCTACAGCACGTGGTTCCCAAAATACTGCCTGTGAGAGGAGAAGGGAACATTGGGCTAAGAGATGCTTTTAACCCCACTCCCTGGTTTCCGAGTGGCCTCTCTGCGCCGGGGGCTGCCGTTTTCTGAGATGAGAGCAGGGAGGGGCAGGCGGGCCAAAGCACCGCATCTGCTCCCAGGAGGGCCCGCTGTGTCCTTGCTCCTGTTTTCCCTCTGAGATTCTCAGTGACCCCAGGCCAGAGACCCTCAGCAGAGTTACTGGTAAAGTTTTCTCAAAGCCCCAACATTTCTGTGACCCCCTGAGTTTTAAGTTGTCAGATACTGTGGCATTTTCCCCCCTTCTTCTCAGACCCTACCACCCCTCCCATCACTCGCCACAAATTCCTGTACAAAACACCTTCCTAAATAGTGTTGATGAGCACCTTGTTCTCATCAGGCCTCTGATCGAAGCCAATTTCCTGACTCCAGTCCTACTCTTCCTCACAGATCTACCAATCCAAAAAGAGCCTGTAAATCAGCAGAGAAAACACACACACACATGCACACACACACGCGCACACACACATGCACACACATGCACACATGCACATACACATGTGCATACACACACACACAGGCTTCCTGCACCAGAAAGCTGAGCAGGAAATCTCGCCTGTGGTGGAAATCTGAGCTGTCAGTCTGGCGCTAGGAGATGTTTGGGGTTGTTTGTTGTTTTTACTTACAGGTACCTGCTGGAGCCAGGCCATCCCTTTAAATGAGAAGAGCAGAGCTAGAAAGCACCCCAACTTAAGGCCTGGAGAGCAGAATCCCTCTGAGCAGTAGCTTCTTCCTCTCCCTCACATAATTCCACAGCCTCTTACTGAAAGGGCAAGGAAAGAGATGGCCCAGCCAGGCAGGGGGAAACCTGACTGAGCTCAGGAGGAGCAGCTGCAATAGTAGCTCCTCTCCTACAAGCCTCCAGGACAAGCACATCCTTCCTGACCCTTCCATTCACTCCAGATACGAGCACTATCCCAGGACAGGACTTAAAGCCACGTGAGTACAGGAACACACACGAGCACAGGGGGAGGAGTTTGGTAGAACTGTTGTTCCAGCTTGACCAAACATCTACCTATGCTTCCCAACCTCACAGGTTGTGACATTTTCAAATGATGGAGGGAGGAAAGGGGATAGCAGAAGAGAAGGTGAGTTAGCCAAATGGAGATACCGATCAGGGTCCATGCTTTGGCTGGTGACAGAAACAGACGTGGTGAAAGCAATCAGCAGGGACAAAACCCCTCCCTCCCATGGCCTCTAAACAGCCTCCGTCTCACCCACAGAAAAATCAAAAGGGAGATACAGTGTTCGCCGAAGGCACATTCCTGAGGCCCTAGCACAATGTGGAGCACACGATAGACCCGCTTGTTCTTTCTCCTCATTTTGCCCTGTTCTTTCCTCATTTCCTTGTGCTAAATAAAATGACTTTAGAACCTGGGTGGGAAGTAGGGAGGAAGCCGTGAGTCCTGTCCTGATCTCCAGGCCTAGCATGTGAATTGGTTTTGCTGCTGTTAAGGAAAGGGCTCAAAGACAGCAGCTCAGCATCCTGTGGCTGTACACACTGAGTGAGAGGGACACGGCGGCAGGGCCTATCGAGGGTCTGCGTGGCCAGGAACCAGGAGGCAAGGAGAAAATGTTCTCCCTTCTTACTGGGAGGAGCTCTTTGCAAACTGAAATGAGACTGTCTTAGTGCAGAAGCCTACTTTTATTCTTTTAAAGCTAATTTTCACAAGAATTAATACCTGCTTCCTGCCTCCACACATCCATAGCCCCGCCCCTTCAGAAAAGCAGGGCCGTCTTCCAGCCTCTGTCTCTCAGGCCATCTTCCAGCCTCTGTCTCTCAGGCCGTCTTCCAGCCTCTGTCTCTCAGGCATTTTACTAGTGGGGAGGATGAACGGTTCAAGAGTCGAGGACATCACATTCGCTAAATGCCCCCAAAAGTTAGTGCCATGCCTCCCATCTCAGAGGCATCTTCCTGGAAATGATGCAAAGCGGAACAGCAAAGGACTGGGGGTGACTGGGCTGTGTGACCTTGGGCAAGTGACTTAACTTGTTTGAGCCTCAGTTTTCTCCCTCCTAAAATCAGAGAAATCTTACCTCTGGCTGGGGAGGGAGTGGTGAATCCCTCTCTGCTCATGCTTCCTGAGCTACTCTTCCATACCAGCTGTTGTCACATTTATCGTATCTTCAACTCTGATGAGAACCCAGAGAGAAAGGAACTATTCCTTTCTTCGAGAAATGTAGTAAGTGTGCATAGGGGTGAAGTGACCTGCCTCGGGGCAGAGACCTGGCCAGTTATGGATCTGGGGGGGGCCAGGTTTCCTCCATGGCTGACATGTTTTCCATCACACCACAGCTGTCTCCTGATGGGCGGGCAGAATGCACACTCAGGGCCTTTGGGAAGTTTGAGGGTTGCGGAATGTGACTTCTCTGAGAGTTTAGACGGTGAGGAGGAGAGGAACGCCTTTCCTCTTTAAGCTTCCCACTTCAGGATCCTCCTGATGAGATCCTTGGTGGCCAGAATTTTCTTCTCTCCTTGCTCTAGAGCCATTACCTGACCCTGTGAAGCAGAAAAGCCACAGATGACCCGCAATCCTCTGGGGACCGTTGGGGTGGGGGCTGAGCTGAGGGTCTTACTCCCCTCAGAAACCCAGGTGACAGCCCTGCACTGCCCCTGCCTCTGCTCAGGCTCTCTGAAGGTCTGGGATGGAGAAGACCCAAGCACAACTGAGCAGCCAGTAGGGTGAGGTGGCAGTGGAGGCCATGGGGCAGAGACCAGTGTCAAGGATGCATCCACCGAAGGAGGAGTGGGTCAAGTGTGTTGCAGGAATTGGCGTGGGCATCCTTTAGCCTAGGAAGCCCTAGGTTAAAGTCTTTAAACTTATAACGAGCCCTGTAACTCTCCTTTTTGTTTGTTTTGTTTGTTTCTTTTTTTTTTTTTTTTTTTTTGAGACAGAGTCTTGCTCTGTCACCCAGGCTGGAGTGCAGTGGCACCATCTCGGCTCACTGCAAGCTCCATCTGCCGGGTTCACACTATTCTCCTGCCTCAGCCTCCCAAGTAGCTGGGATTACAGGCGCCTGCCACCATGCCTGGCTAATTTTTGTATATTTAGTAGAGATGGGTTTCACCATGTTAGCCAGGATGGTCTCCATCTTCTGACCTCGCGATCCACCCGCCTTGGCCTCCCAGAGTGCTGGGATTACAGGCTTAAGTCACCGCGCCTGGCCATAAGCCCTGTAACTATTTAAAGACAAGGTGTTCACACATCCTTTCCCAAGCTTGCTTAACTTTGGAACTTTCTTTACCCCCACAGAGCCCACTCCAGGAAGTGCTTACCTAGAGCAGTCCTCCCATTTCACAGATGGGACCAGGGGAGGATGGGAACCCATGCAGCTTCTAAAATTGGCCGCCTTCTTGAGTCCCCCACATCCCTAGGGGACTTAGAACTACTCCCCACCTGTTCCCAGGGCTTAGAGAAATTGTGTCTGGCTGCAGCTGTGATGTGTGGAAGAAAGGACATCTGTCTCCTCCTTTTCAGGGGATGGGGGTAAATGGAGTAGGGGGTGGGGAAGGGAGAACTAGGCCTCTTGAAAGGGAGGAATAATTTCACAGAGTAGAAGATCAAGACAGCTGGGCAGCGCCCCCGCCACCCCGCCCAAGAACGCTTTATGCCTCCCAGGTCTTAGCAGGGACCACCCAGATGACCTCTCAGGAAGCCAAGTCCCAGCCCTAACATCGAATCCTGCAGTTGTTAGGCCTAAAGAGACACTATCCCTGGCCTCAGTTTCCCAATTTGCAAATGGCTCCTTTCTGAAAATGAAATCCCTTCCAGTGACAAACTCCCCAGGACCCCAGGCCCATCATAGCCTGAGCTGCATTCCAAGGGATCTGGGGAAGGAGCTCTAGCACCATCCAGTTTTCTGGGGGCATACGGTGAGGTCAGCCCAGGAGAGGAGAGGGGTTGGGAAGCAGCTGCCGTCTGCCCCTACCCACCCTGGCCCCCAGGCAATCCATTTTCCACTGGGTCCTGGTTCCTTATCCACAAAGTGGATCGAGGTCCCTTGTAGCGCCCAGAATGGATCTTCACCTCTAAGGATTCCCTTTTCCTAACAGTGTCAGGGATGGCACCAACCTGCTCACATTCAGGGAGTTAACTCCTGTAGGGGCTTGAGAAAGGTGATCCTCTCCCATCCTCTAAATGTGGGGGAGGACTGATTAGCCCCCTATCCCCTGGCATCACTGGGATTCCCATGGTCCTGCAAGAGCTGGATGGAAGGCTGCAGAGAAGGAAGCCAGGAAAAGCCCCTCCCAGCACCCCCTTATACGCCATTCCAGGACTTTGTCCTCCCAGCCCTGAACCCAGCCAATGCAGCTGTTCTCCAGATTCAGACAAAGACCTGACACTTCTTCCAACCGGGCCGAGCTGGGCAGTCTGTGGACGGGTGATGGAGTCGGTGTGGCACAGAGAGAGGCCAGGGAGAGCCAGCGCCGGTAGAGTCTGCATGGCTCGTCCTCGGCTCCACGCCCTCCGTGCGAAGACCGGACTGAGATAGCCACGTTCTGTGGGGCCCAGTCTGGCCCTCGGCAGCTCTCCCCCTCCCACTCTGCTCCTCAGCCACATGCCCTTGGGCTGAGCTAAGTCCAGAACCCGGCTGAGTAGGGGAATTGTTCTGAGAAAGTGGCCCGTTGGCTGGTTGCTATGGAAACCGACATACCACAGAGCTGACCCCGGAGAGGTTTAGCACGCTCCCCCAGCAGGGATGCCAGCAGCTGGACTGCAGCTGTTACCGCGGGAGTGGGGGCTGGAGCTGTCGCCAGAAGTCCCTGCTGTTTGCCTAAACTAGGTCCGCCAGCAGATCCCCTCCATTAGCTCCCACCCCGCTCCTCCTCATGCGGCCTCCCCTACTGCTATGGATGGGAAGGGAGCTGCGGAGCCTGCCCTGGCAGGATGGGGGTGGGGTAGGATGGGGGTGGGGTGGGGTGGGGTAGGGGAGGTTGGCTCTAGAGAGAGGAGGTCTCCTTTATGAACCAAGGCACATCCTTGAAGGGTAGGGCAATGTCCTACCCTTTGCAATGTCCTACCCATTGCATTTCTGGGGAAACTGAGGCCCAAGGAAAAATAGGAATTGTTCCCCAGTCACACAATCAGGGCATGCTAGAGCTGGGGTTGGCACCCAGCTGAGTCTAGAGGCACCACACCACTGGTTCTGGCCCTCTGTGCTGTGCTCTTGGCCCTCCCTGCAGCAATTCAGCACACACTATGGAGCCTGCCCAGTGCAGACAGCAGCATTGAACCAGCATCACTCCTGACACAACCTCGGGGAGGGCGGGGGCGCACCGATGACTGAACAAAAGGAGCACCAGGAAACAGATCATAGAAATAGAAAGAGGAACACGTAGAGAGGAAAAGGAGGGTGTGTGAGTCGGGGAGCAGGAGGGTACGTGTGGGAGAGGGAAACAGAGAGGTAAGGAGAGGCAGAGAAAGTTACAGAAAGAAAAAAGAGAGGTGATGAGGTGCCCAGAATGAGTGGAAAGAAAGGATAAGATCACCTCCCTCCCCCAGCGAGCTCCGAGCCCCTCCCAGCGCAAAGCCTGTGGGGTAGAGAGAGGATTGCATCAGAAAGGAGAAGGAGGGAGGAAGGGTGGGAGGGCTGATTGGGGGAGCAGGGCAAAGGTGGAGTGGGTATTACAATCTGTTTCTGGGAGGCATCTCCTGCCATCCCACAATGCCTCAAGCTCCCTGAGTGGCCTAGCACAAACACACCAGCCTGCCTCCCACCGTGACGTGGCACTTCTAGACTCAGGAGGGCTAATCTGCAATGGGACGCTAAGCAAACACCCCCTCAGTCAGAGAGATGAGATAGCACTACCCTCCCTGAGTGCCTGACCAGTCCTCCATCCTCACGCGTGGCTGCCAGAACACAAGCTTCCTTTCATTCCTCATGGTCTGTTCTGACCCTCATCCCCACCTCTCCAGAGTCATCACTCCTTCCGGCCCAAGGGGAGACGCAGCTGCGGAAAGAACCCCCCGCCGCCTCCACTGCGCCACTGTCTGGCCCCTACTCTTCAGCCCTTCCTCATCTAGAGCTGGATCTGACACCAAAGGCGTCTTGTGAGCAGGTGGGCCCACTTCTCCCCTGCAGAGCCCCACCATGGCTCATCATGAATTAACACCCTTCTTAGTGCTCTTCCCCTCCAGCTGCCCTAAAATAGTTGGTTGCAGGGGACTGGAGGGCTGCTCTGCATCTCCCTGCGCCCTCCTGGGCTGTTGGGAAGTTGCTCTGTCTGTGAAGTCTTGGCTCCAGGGATGCCAAGGGACTCCGGGAACAGTTCGGAATGTGCCAACACCATTACACTCTGTAATTTAAGACCTGGCTCTGCAATGGGCCAGCAGATTGCTTTTGCACTTACACTACCTTTTTGACAAAAATTTGGTGTCTCAGGCCAGTTAATTCTATTATGTTTGCAGACTGGAAAGAGCGGTATTGGAGATGATGCTCTGCTCCCTCTGGCCATGCTCTCCCTTCTGAGCAAGACCAGCTGGTCAGTTGCAGACACTTAGCCTTGACTTGGGGGTGAGATGCCCTGCTGAGAGTATCACTGGTGCTCCTGCTTCTGGCCAGTGAGGTCACTGAAAGGCAGTGCTTGAACAAACGACCAACCCTGAGCCTACCACTGTGAGTGTGGTTGGGAGCATGAGGAAGAAGTCTCCACAAGGACCCCTGTCCAGAAGTTTGCAGTCTCAGAGGAAGACAGGGCTGATCTACCACATGCAACAGAGACAGATCAGTGCTTAGCCGCAGGGCAGCCTGAATTGCACATTGCGTCAACTTGAGTTCATTTCTTAAGGCAAAGTGCAGACACTCACTTGGCGATCATGGTCTTCTGTGGTGGTGAGGCTGAAACCAGATCTATGAAATCATCCCAACGGTGAACTCCAGCCAGAGCCCTTTCTCTGTTTCTCCTCTTTGGAAAAGACAGATAACATAAATATCTGACTCCAGGAGGCAGCAACATCCCATCCTGTCCGCAAACATCCCTTTACCCCCTCACCAGCCCTTCCAAGACAAGACACAGGCTATACCCCAGGACCCACGATCCAAATCGCCTTGGAACTTGGTCACATTCCACCTGAGAAATGACCAGTATTCACAGTTTCCAGGTCATTACCACAATCAGTATCTCATTTAAATCCCTATCACCTACTGTGCCATAGGTAATTATTATTATCATTTTATAGATGGGGAAAAAGTGGCCCAGGAAGGCGAAATGCTTACCCGAGGCTACACAGCAGAAAGTAGCAAAGTCAGAAATTCACCAAGGCCTTCCACTGTGGGCCAGCTTCCTTCCCACTTCTCCACAAGGCTTCTTGGCTAGTTTCTCCTGTTTCTCACAGAATCTAGCTTGTGGTGTTTGTTCAGTAAACATCTCTTGTACAGTAGGAAAACGTAAAGTTGTCCTGAAGGCCACAGTGAGACGTCCTCAGCCGTGTGTGTCTGTGTGTGTGTGTGTGCATGGAAGGGTGGGGGTGGCAGAAGATATAGTCTTAAAGGAAAACAGGACTGACCTACCACATGCAACTGATGAAAACCTGCAGCTACTGGGGAGATGTCACCCCCAAGCACTGAGCTGCCATTTTGAAGAGATGGTGGCAAAGGCAACTGAACTCGTCTTTACTTGAATTAACTTCTGAAACATCCTCAAAACTCCCAACCTATGTGAGCATCAAACACCTTTCTGATTTAAAAAAACATAAAACAGGCTGGGCACGGTGGCTCACACCTGTAATCCCAGCATTTTGGGAGGCTGAGATGGGCGGATCACGAGGTCAGGAGATGGAGACCATCCTGGCCAACATGGTGAAACCCCATCTCTCCGAAAAATACAAAAATTAGCTGGAGGTGGTGGTACATGCCTGTAGTCCCAGCTACTTAGGAGGCTGAGGCAGGAGAATCGCTTGAACCTTGGAGGTGGCGCTTGCAGTGAGCTGAGATTGTGCCACGGCACTCCAGCCTGGGTGACAGAGTGAGACTTTGTCTCACAAAACAAACAAACAAACATAACCCATAAAACAAAAATTGGGCCAGGCATGATGATTCACACCTATAATCCCAGCACTTTGGGAGGCTGAGGCTGGAGGATCACTTGAGACCAGGAATTCAAGACCAGCGTGAGCAACATAGCAAAACCCCATCTCTAGAAAAAACAAAGAAAGAAAAACTAGCTGGGCATGGTGATATGCTTGTAGTCCTTGTCAGGGAGGATAAGGCAGGAGGATCACTTGAGCCCAGGAGCTGGAGGGTATAATGAGCTGTGTTTGTGCCACTGCACTCCAGATTGGGCAACAGAGCAGGGCCCTGTCTCTTTTTTTTAAAAAAAAGAATTAGGCCGGGTGCAGTGGCTCACACCTATAATCCTAGCACTTTCGGAGGCCAAGGCGGGTGGATCACGAGGTCAGGAGATTGAGACCCTTTCTCTATTGAAAATACAGAAAAATTAGCCAGGCGTGGTGGCAGCTGCCTGTAGTCCCAGCTAGTCGGGAGGCTGAGGCAGGAGAATGGCGTGAACCTGGGAGGCGGAGCTTGCAGTGAGCCGAGATGGTGCCACCGCACTCCAGCCCAGGCGACAGAGCAAGACTCCGTCTCAAAAAAATAAGTAAATAATAAAAGTAAAAAATAAAATAAAATAAAATAAAATAAAGAATTTAAAAAAAAGAAAGGGGGTGGGATGGGAGAGTTAGGATGGGGTTGGGACAGTCAACAGGAAACAGGCTGTGTGGTGAGGCACAGTAGGTCAGTCAGCAGACAACGTGTGAGCCATAGCAGACCCCCTGCCAGCCTGCCCATAGCAGAGTCCACAGCCCAGTGTGGACCAGGCCTTCAAAGCCAAGACAAGTGGGCCATTCCCAGGATCCCAAAGGAAGACATGCCAAGGATGCCCTTCAGCTGGAGGCAAAGGTAAAGGGCCACGCAGAAGTCCACAGGTCAGCCTCAGTGTGGGGAGCAGGGACAAAAGGCCTCATTGGTGTAGATGCCTGGGACTGCTGATATGCAGGGGGGCCAGGGTACAACTGAGGTACTTAGGGTGACTAATGGAAAGAGACCCAAGTCTAAAATCACTCAGGGAGTGATTTTAGAACCAGAGCCACAAGCTGGAACAAAAATCTCACTTTATTGGTCACTTATTACAGAATAAAAAAAAAATTGTCAGAGCTGGCAGAAATATCAGGGATTACCTTATACATGTCCTGGCTCAGTGTCTAGAACATAGTGGGTATCCAACATGCGTCTTAAATGAGTGAATGAATGAATGAATGCATGAATGAATGTATTCTCTCATTTTAAAGATAAGCAAAACTCTGGGACCTAGAATTGACACTCACAATGGTGTGTAAAGACCCTGGATTTTGAAGAACCTCCTGAATCATCCAGGAAAAATTCATGCTCTGTACACTCGTTAATTGCCTTTCAGTGTCATGATCGAGAATGAATACTCTGGACTTGGTGGCTGGCTCCTTGTGAAGAAGAATTCCATCAGATTCCATTTGATTAACCTGCATTGAGATCCTAATACATGTCCGACACTATGCAGAAATACTTCACTCCCTCTTCCGTGGCAGACCACGATGAACTAGGGTTTGCTGTTTTCACGGCTTCTGTCACTGTTGGAGCTGAGACTGAGGCTGCAGCAGGAGCTCCTCTGGCCCCAAGGCAAGAGACATGTTCTCTGCATCCCCAGAGGACCCACAGCAACTTCTGGTTTGGGTTAAAGAGGACTTGGGTGACCCCACCCTGCCAGTCATCCACCCTCTGGCAGCCAGGGCAGCAGCAGGGGAGAGGGCAGGAGGGCCACAGTGCTGCTCTCCCCTGCCATTTCCTCTGCAGCTCCCTCTCTGGCCCTGTTTTTCAGACCTCTAGTAATAAAAACAAGCCAATAAAATGAACATGAAAATATATTCATTAGGATTTATAATGCTCATTAAAACTGCCTGTGTACGAAAGCATGACTTAGCTTCATATAAGTGGGAAAAAAATGCAAATTATACTGCATGCAAAGAAGATATTTCCCTAATCGTCCAATCAAATGCCAGCCCAATTATCTGTGGCCAACCCAATGGGTTAAAATTATACTCTCTTTCCTTGGACACAGTGAGGCGCCTGAAAGTGTTTCATTTTAATAAAAATGAAATCTGGACCCTGCAGAAAACCAGCTTCACTAATGACGTGTTTACACAGAGAAAGACAATTTCTAGTTAATGGTGATTACTACCGAGAACAAATTAAACTTCCCGGAGTATATGGGTTAGAGATAATGGGAAAGAGGGGGAAAAAGTTATGGTTTTAGTATGTGTGTGGTGCTTGAGGGGACAGGGTGACAGGAAGAAAGAAGCTAAGGAAAGTCTACGAGGAAGCTGAGGATGCAGGGGTGCTGGGGTGGGTGTGGCAGGAAAAAGCTTTGGTGACTGGCTGCACTGGTTCTACCAGGGTTGGGGCCTGACAATAAGGCAGTAGGGGGCTGGCAGCTGGCTCTGGCGTCCTAAAACCCCAGGGATGGCCATCTTCAACTGCGGCAGGGCTGAATTCTTTCTGCAAGCTCAGGTGCCCTGAAGCCTGCCACTTTTCCTTCTTGGGAAGCAGGTTAACAAATCCCTGCCATTAACAGTCACTGAAAGTGCTTCCTACTCCACACCACTGGCTTAGTGATGAGACCAGAGGCAGGCCTGAGCCTCCAAGCTCTCATGCAAAGCCTAAGTGAGCAGACAAGCTTCAGAGGGGCAGCAAAATGGAAGCAAAACAGACAGGAGACAGAATGCTAGAGAGACAATGACGAGGAAAATGGCAACCTAAATTTACCTGCCGTTTACCAAGTCCTTGCCATACGGCGGGTACTATTCTAAAATGTCACCCCTTTTCATCCTTACCCGTGGGCAGGATAATCAGCTGCTGCTGCTTCATTTTTGCAGCGGGCAAACTGAGGCTGAGAGAAGTTACTAACTGCCCAATGTCAGATTCTTAGTAAGTGAAGAAGTTGGATTTCAAATCCAGATTTGTTTGATTGCGAAGCCCGTACTCCTAACCGTTGCTGGAATAAACATGGAGGTATCCTATCAGGATCGGGCAGGCCTTGAAAACAGCCTCCAGCTCACTGGCCGGACCCTGCACTCGACTTCTGTGGCCACTGGAGGCTGGTTTGACCATTGGAGGCCATGAAGATGTTCTTTCAACAGCATAATCTCAGAAAGTACCAGATGGTTCCTGCTTCCCCTCTCCCTCTCCCCTACCTCCTAAGAGCAGGTGAGCCAGTGGGGACAGCGAGGAGGGAAGGGAGCAGGGATTCCTCTAGTGCTGAGTTTTAATGTATATTCTTTTGTAAACAAGAACAATCATTCGTGAACAGGCCCAGATGCAAACAGTCCCCAAATCAGGAATTCCAGCTCAGAGGCGCAGAATAATACAGCTTTGGGGAAGATTTAATAATAGTAAAATTAAAATTGTAACTGAAGCATAATGAAGAATGTGGTACAAACAAGCACTGCAAAGAAAAAAACAACAACAACAACAAAAAAGCAAACCCTACACAGATTAGCCCCTATGGAATAGTGATTGGTTGAGAGCAACAGTAAACAATGCACAGAAATGCAACTTAATTATCTCGCAATTCTCAACATTCTACCAAAGCCACAAGGAAAGCTTTGATGTTGGCAGCCGAGACAGAGGCGCTGCAGTGGAAGCAGCAGCTTCTCTCTCCCCTGCTCCTGGAGGAAGATCATTACTAAGAAATCTGCAGCCACTACAGCAGCTGAGCCAGAGAAGAGCAGCAGGACTGATCTGCTGAGAAACTAGGAAGTGGCTATCCGGTAAAAAAATGGTCTCTCGGGGGCTGCCAAGTCAGTGGGTTGGTGAACAAAAGGGAGCTCTGAGGATCAGGGGCTCAAGGATAAGGACTGGCAGGGGAGGCACCGCGGACCACCAATCCCCAGAGATAAGTGGGAACCTGGGGCCTGGCAACCCCAGCACTGGCTTGGTGGCACCAGGTACTCTCTGGATGGAGTCTGGGTGCCCTCCCCTGCCCCCAAACGCACACAGTAGGTACTACCCAGTCAGGAAAGCCTCCCTTCTTCCCGATTTTCACCTGAGATGCCTGCCCAGGGTTTAGGGTGGTGGGGAACAGTCCCAGAGGAAGGAGGACACTTCATTCTGAGTCAAATGTCTCTTCTAAAGGTGCTTCTGATGCACTTCTGAAGAGACAGACTCAGCAGGCACCCATATACAGAAACTCAGTCCCTGAAGCCCCCTTTTTATCTCTGCTTGACTGATGTCCTAGGCAGGCTCCTGGCTTTGTTAAGTTGGGCCCTGAAGTGCCTTGGAAACTGTGTCTTGGCTCTTCCCCTGCTCATGGAATGGGGAGGCTGTTGTAGTTCCCCAGCCGTTGCCATTGCCCTGGAATAAAATATTTTCTGTGGCTTCTCAGTTCTGGAAGTTTCACCCTGACGTTCTGGGAATCAGCCTGGAGTCCATCCCCACCATCTTCCCAGCAGGTTATGTTCCCTCATTTCCTGAGACTGGAGAACTCAGGCCCGAGGCGCATCAGAGGAACAGTCCTGGTCTTCCCCTATTTCTTTTACTCGTGATTCCACATTTTGATGAAGGGAGGTCATAGAGCCCTCCAAGGGGATACTGGTGAAAACTGAGGTAGCCTATACTAGATGCATGACTTCTAGCTGTGGGCCAGGGGCTGGGAAGGGTAGAGACTGTCTCAGTATTGATTACCTTTATTTGGAATGCTGAGCTTGGGAGACTCTGGTGTGTTGGTGCTGGGCAGAGCCTCTCCAGAACCATGCTCATTTGGCAGGGCGACTTCCAGAAATGAACAAAGCCTGTCCCCCACCTTGCCCCCCGCCACCTTCAAACAACCACCCTGTTACTCTCTAATAAGTCACCCTGAATGTGACTCGGACAGCTCTTGTGTCATTCTGAAAATATCTGGTTCATTTGTTTATTTATAGTTGATTGTCCAATCCCTTTCCCCACTAATACAGAAATTCCTTGAGGGCTGGGGCCTTGTTGGTGCCATTCAGCAACGTAGCCCCAGTGCCTGGCATGGGGCAAGCTCTCCATAAGCATTGATTGAATGAAAGAACAAAATGCCCAGGTTGCTCCCATAAGAGCCAGGGTCAAGGGCCTCAGGACCCACTGTCATCCCTGTCCTGCCTTTGTCAGTCTCATCCTGGGGGTGGGCTGGGCTCATCTCAAATGCCCAACCTCATGATATGAGTGAGGCTGGAGCTCAGGGCAACGAGGGGTCCTGTGGCATCACGGAAATGCTCCTGGAGTCTGGAGATGTCATGGAAATACATAGAGAACAATGGAAACACGTAGAGAACACTCACTGGGTGGGTCCAGGCACAGCTCTGAGCCCTGGGTGTGCGTTCACTCGTTTCATCTTCACAATGCAGATGTTTGATCCTGCTAAAGCCACGAACCAGCCAGGTGGCCAGGATAGTCACTTTCCCCTCTGGGCAGCCTTATTTTTTCATCTATAAAATGGTGGTAAATGGGCATTAATCTGGAATACTTGCTAGACAGCAAACTCTGAAAGGACAGGGACTGTGTATCATTCACTGTTGCGTCCTCAATGTCTAGCACAATGCCGGTGTGTGGTAGGTCTTTAGTACATGTTTAGGAAGTGAGTAAAGTGATTTTCCGTTTAGATCCATTCCAGGATTCTAAGACTTCTTACCCTAAACCATCCACTGTTCAGCAGTGTGCAGGCCACTTTCCATCCCCATCTGCTGTTTCCAAGAGCCCCTTGGAACCTCAGACTTAGAATTCACTCATAGTCATGAGTGTTACGGAAGGTGAGGCGGGAACAGGGCTCAGCTCTGAGCAGGAGGAAAAGAAGGTTGGCTAGAGCAGGCAGGGGACGCCATGTTACTCACCTGCACCTGAAGCTCAGCTGTGACCCAGCTTGGATGACAGGCAGTGTCACAATGCAGTTGTGATCCCCTACACAATCTGTGCAGGGTACAGGTATTCAAAACAAGCCAGTGAGTTAGGTGGGTCAGAACTGATTGTTCTCTTCATTGTGCAGATGTGAAACTGAGGCTCCGAATGGGTAAGCCACTTGCCCAAGGTCACACAGCCATTTAGTGACCAGACCTCAAGACCAGGACTCCTGGTTCAGACCTGGGACTGCGTTCCCTTTTTTTCTCCCCTCGCTGACCCCAGGCTGATCCCACTGGGTGAGGAGGGAGCTGCTGAGGAGGTGGCACCAGCCCCTTGGCAGGGAGGTGGTGTGGGTAGAACCTCCAGGAACCCCATTTACCCTTTGCAGCCCTGACAAATGGCCATCAGTGCAGCATCTGAGATTCAGGGAGATGGAAGCCATTGGTGAGTTTTTACACTTGGAATATAAAAGAGACATTTTTTTCTTTGTAAAAAGTGGTTTGGAAATTGCCCTGGTGCTAAATTTTTGCTGAGGACGTCAGATGTGTACACCTCTTCCCTTCAGTTGTCTAATGGCACAAGTGGTTCGCATCTCCATTTGTTTGTTTCCTTGGTGTGTGCGCTCTTCAGTCCCTGGGAGCCGGAGGAAGCCTGGTGTTACATAAGCACCTCATCAGGATAAACATCCAGCCAGACGCGGCTTCCTTCGATGCTCCCACCCAGGAGGAGCACTTATCCCAACCCCCACACTTCCCCAGAGTGCAGAGAGAGATTTGTGTTCCTGACAACTGCCCCTTATTACCAAGTGGGCCCCTGGGAAGAGCTGAGTCCAATCTGGGGCATATCTAGACGCCTTGCTGCTCCTGTGATGAAGGGAACCAGGGGGTCCTCTTTGACTCCGACCTCCAGGGTCCCTCCTGAGCATCCTGGCCTCCCTAATAGCATTTATTTATTCATAGAAAGCCCACTGGGTGCCAGGCTCTGTGCTGGGTGCCAAGGATAGAGAGGAGTGAGCCAGGATCCTTCGTTGGGGAAACCCAAGGTAGAAATGAGGTGATAGCCATGCCAAGGAATCATGACAAATCAGCGGAGCTATCACTGAGAAATGCACAAAGTCTGGGAACCAGGGAGGAAGGAAGTCCTAGGTCTGCCTGGGGCCGTCGGTGGCATTTGCATAGGACCCTGAAGGACACGTGCGCATGAGGAGCAGCAGAACAGCAAGTGGAGGGCAGGGCCGAGCCACCCTCCTCTCCTCCTCACTCACACCCAAACAGGCTCTGGCCAGCAGGATTCTCTCCTTCCTTCTTTTATTCTGAGAAGGAAACTGCCACAGGGCAGGCCCAGTAGCCTGTGTACTTCTCCCTGTTTTGCCTCTGTTCCCTCCTCTTTATGACAGAGAAAATGATAATATCTACGTGATAGGATGAAAGGCTATCATGCAAGTGCTTCAAAGAGTGTCTGGGACAAGAGTAGGCCCTGATAAATGTGGAAAGTTTTATTACAATTTTTATTGCTATCACCACCAATGGTGCCGGCAAGCTTCCAGGGACCCTAAGCAAATGCCTCAGAAGCATAAAGATATTTTTGGTTGTACTTAAATTCTTCACTTCCAACCCAAACATACCAGGAAGGGCCTCCCTACTCGTTCTTGACTGTGCAATGACAACTCCCTTAGAAGAGGTAGCCTTTGACCCTGGGAGCTGCTGGTGAACACCGGAAGCCCTTGGTATGAGTTGCGTTGCCTGGGACAGAAGTTGGAGCCAATCGGTGACCTGCTCAGCTGACAGCTGACAGCATCCAGGTGGTTTTAAGAACTCGACAGATGCAGCTGTCTACTGCGCTCTGAAGGAGTGAGCTGATGCCACCTGCCACCCAAAAGTCGGGTTGGTAGAGGTCCTGTGGTGACAGTGACCGAGGTGGCCAATGTCTGCTGGGATTTGTGCCTGGTCATCCCACAGCCTGGGGGAGCTACAACGACCTCCCATTGGGTACCACACCTTGTCCTTGTTTTCAGGACCCCACCACTCAACATTCACCAGCTGCCCAAGTCAGAAACCTAGAGCCCATCCTTGGTGCCCCTCTCCCTCCCGCCACTCCCCTTTGTGAGCCTGCCATTTTTCCATCTGAAACATCTCATACAGGTACACAGGTCTCTCTCTCCACTGCCTCCGGCTTCAGGCGGGTCATCATAACCTCTGGCAGCAGCTTCCTGCGAGGTCTCCGTGCCTCGTTTCTTTTTTGCCTTCCTCCAATCTACTCCACATATTGAAGCAGGGTTCTCTTTTCCAAAACACAGATCTGGCCAGATCAATCTCCCGCTTAAAACTCTTCCACATCCTTCAAGACCCTCCAGAGTCTCCAGCCCCAGCTTTCCCCCAGCCTTTGTCCCACAGGATGCTCCTGACAGGTGGAAAATTTTGCCTTTCACCTCATCAGCCAAGCCCTGTCTGGCTACCAGGACATGATTCACGGAGCTCCCTCTGCCTGGAGCACTTCCACTCATTCCCTGGCCACTTCAGGTATCAGCCCTGATCCCACAAGGTTTCACGAGGTGCCCTCCTTACTGCTTGAAGAGTGCTGTGGCCTTGCCTGTTGGAGGCACTTAACATATTGTGCTAGAGGTGCCTGCTTACTGTTAGCTCTGTCTATTTGCCACTGTTCTATAAGCTCCAAAAGGCATGTCTCTAACCTGAATAACGCCTGAACAGAGTGGGCAATGGGCAGGTGTTGAATGAATGACAATAGAACAAATGAATGAACAATGAAGAGACAGGATATACAAACTAAAAAAAAACTTGATTGATACAAAATAACACATCATTGAGGCCATCACCACAGTGGAATCTGAGCATATAATGAGGAGGTAGAGACACAGGATGGAGGCATGAATCCATTTGGGGGTTG